CTCGCGAAAAAACGCGGGAAACGTTATCGATCGAGTGTACGTCGATTAATATCGAATCGAACCGAAGCGATTAAATAACGAACGATCGTTGCACTTTTACTAAGACTCGATTAACTCGATAGCGACGGTAAAAGAGAACCGATCGCGAGTGATGTATTTTTGATGAACTTTCGACGGACGGCAACTATTTAATGAAGCGCTTGTTAAACATTTATAGTCCGAATTCCACTTTCGAGAACGTAAGTACTTTAACATACCGTTTCAATACCTGTCAATTTTTTCCGTCGTAATATGTACCACGACTCATACATCGATAATCTCTGATTTAACGAATTCGTTTAACACGACGCAGCGCAACGAGCCAAAGTGGAACGCGAGGCGCGATACATGCAAATTGACGCGTTACGCGTAATTCGACTTTTTTTGATTTATATCGGATTCGAGCCGTAGTTACAGTCAATTACAGTCGTTAAACATTATTTTGTTATAACGTAATGAGTACCGCTCACGTTACGCGGCCGTAGGCGAGCGAGGGTTTGCATTTTGCATAAATTACGTGTATAGTTGTGTCTGGTTCGCGTGGTCGCTCGGCGTTATTGTCAAAATAATGCGGGAGCAGGTTGCCGCTACAGGCTAGATAAAACAAATAGACCTCCGACACGGAGTTGTATATTCGACCTTTGCCAGGCCCCTGAACGCGCAATTGTTTCCCGCCATCGTGAAATTAAACGCTGAAAAGAAGAAAGGTCGACTGCCACTTCCGAAGCGAAACGAGATCGTATCGCGGAACACTAATGCGTGTCGCGATAACGGAAATAAGCCGCACAAAAATGTACATTGGACATTAAACAACGTGTCGACTGTCAGATTTCTCCGAACGTTTTACTTTTCGTATAAAACTTTACATGATTCTCCTGCGATACACTGTTCTTTCTTTCGAGATCAAACGCATTGTTTCCTTTCATTTCCGTCGTTCTTGGGCGGTCATGATTGCCGGTTACTGCAGTATTTTGAAAAGAACGGATCTCGTAATTGAAACGTATTCGCTGACGGGGCTGGTTTCCATTGAATCGTTTCGAGTGCGTTCCACAGAAAGAGTTAATACGCGTAATTGTACCGGTGGATGCAAGAAAGGCCGTAGGACACTAAGGCCCTCTTTGCATTAAACACGTAATTAGATAACTAGTCTTTTTCTAAATTTATTTCCTATAAAACGTTATAAATAGTTCTGTAACAATTTCTTTATATAGAAAAAAAACTTTATGACACTGAGATCCTTCTAGTATTTCAGAGGTATATACAATTTCCTAGGAAGGAAATGAGTGTACCTTTTCTAGTGGAACAGTCAGCGAAAAAAGAAACGAGAATACGTAAAAAGAATGTAAATGGTGGACCGTATTAAATGCACCACCGTTTCCTTATCATCATTTATTAAAAATACCCGGTAAGCGGAACAATGCAAATGGTCTCGTTATGAAATACTCCTCCTACGTAATTCTCGCAGCCTGACGTTTGAAAACATGAACGTGACATAGGAGATAGAATAAACTTCGAACGGAACGACATACAGGTAACCCTCGTATATACGATAGTTAGAAATAAAGTTGAATCGCCACATGATATACGTATTCTCACGCGTTAGATCGCTGCGCAATATGTCGTCACACGTTACGTTTCCACGCGTTATATTGCCCACTCGTATTAATGATGTTCAGTGACACGATTTCACGGCGTTCGTGGTGAATACGTGATATCAATAATATTATTAGTATTTATATCGTTATTAATACATCACGAATTCGCGTCACACTCAATTAATGTTAATACTGTAATTGACTGTGACACGCACCCAATGAGTCGATATTTCCAATGAACGCGTAAACTGAAAGCGTTTCGTTTATACCAAAATATCTGTGGTAACGTATCCATTATAAATTTCTTAAAACGATAAGTAAGCGAAAAAGAATCTAGATTCGTACCGTTATACGTTCGCGTGAAATGTAACGAAGGAACGAACTGTCACGACAACGATTAAAAACAGAAACGTATTGCCACGATCGTCTCGTCGATGTAACACACGAACCAAGCGGGACGCGAACCGTCGGAATTGAACACGACAGGATGTAACTGGTAGTCAAACTTGACATTGAAAAATTTCGAAGGATCCCGAGCGAGAGAAGGAACGAACGGTTCTAAAAGATATCGAACCGCTTCTAGTAATTTAAAACTCGTTCGTAGCCGAGCGAACTGAAATACACGTCGTAGCGCGTTACTACTGGTGTGCCCAAAGGCGTGGACAAAAGATGAATTTGAGACCGATGACCTTTCTCCTCGAGGAGAGAAACGGAGAGCGCGAGAAAAAGAGTGAAACGGCGAGAGCAGAAGAAGAGAAGAAAGAACGAAAGAGACAGGTCAAGAGAGATCATTCGAGAAGGCTCCGTTAGTTGATCAAGCGCGAAGGCTATTTAACATTCCCGTGTTTGGAAGGACGCACTTTAGGAATCGCAGATGTTCAACCGACTGGCAGTGCTAGTTTTCAAACTTGTTCTCGTTGCTCTCGCTTGATCTTTCCGTTACACGCTCCTTCTCCGTTCTCTCTGCCTCTCCTTTCGTCCCCCCTCCCTTCGTGCGTGTTTTTTGCGTAACAAACCTACCCGTGAAAGAGTCGGCGAAGTACACTTACTGGCGGCACCGATCGGAAGGGTTTGCCCGTACGCGACGTTCCGAACGGAAATATTCGCTAATCGAGGGATGACAGCTTTGCACAACAAGTAGGTCATACACGACAGTTAACGCGAAGTAACGACAGGTTGACACGGACACGATTCGACGGTTCGATTCGAAAGTGAAACGACGTGTATGGAACACGTAGGCGCGTGTTTACGTCGGCGGAACTCACCTCGGCTCGACGGAGACTGCGGTAACGGCTCGTAACGATTTGAAACGAGCGCACTGAGTCCACTCCATGCCTGGCGCACGCACGGCCACTGTCTTCTCACCCGTTATTTCCACGATTTTTAATCTGTACGAACACTCGTGGACATGCTGTCTCTCGTTCAACGCGGATAAAGATCGTCGGCGCACACTAATACCGGACGGTCACGACGCAGAGGCGCGAAAAACGCGAAAATCCCGACGGATCCGCGGTATAATGTCACGAAATACGTACAGAGTCGGCTAACGTCGGGCTACGACGGTGGCGACTGCATGCGACCAGCGGCACAACTAAAGTCTCTAGCCACCGTACGCTTGGGGATATTCCTCCAAACGACGCTACGCTTACCTCCCCACTACTTCCCAACATATTTTCAATTACCGTCACACAATAGGCTCGAGCATTATCGAATCTATTATTTAATCGTCTATCAAAAAGATTATTCACTTATATTCAATTATGTTATTCTTAATTACTTATCTTCGATTCATTCCGAATACTTATTTCATTGATTGTGCCATTTTCAATTAACTATTATTTTATTATAAAATTAATTTTCGACCGAATTCGCGGCCCGAAAATTTAGATCGACTACAATTTCGAACTAAAAGTAAATCAAACTTAACTTTGTATCTCACGTATAAAAATTTTAATGTATTTTATATACATGTATAAAAACATATTTACAATATTTGTTTAAAGTGTCCATATGCTAAAACTTGTAACAATTTATTTTTATAAGTCGGATCTAAAACATCGTGCAACTTGTTCTCGAGTGTAGGTACATAACTTGCATAATTTTGTACCAACGTCTTAAAAGTAATTGATTTTTCAAATTCAGTATTTAGTCGCGAGTTTATCCAATCTATAACGTGATCTGGCAATACACTGTTCAAATAACTTTTCATATATCTCATTAAAAATTCTACACAAATTCTTGATATTTCCAAGGGTTCGAAGAAATCGTAATTGGTGCATTTATCGAAAACCTAAGTAAAAGCATCGTATTAATAGCCAGTTTCTTGCATGACTTCAATTATTAATAATACTTACATCTGTTTCATCCATTTCGTAGTCCGAATCATCCATCAATGCGACCCCCCAATAAAACAGCACAGTACAAATTAATTCAGGATCACTGTGCATAGATTTACAGAACTTAGAAAGAAACAGGTTTACATATGATGTATTGGTACTTAATATACAATCTATTGGAATGGCATCGATTAAAGTGGCTGCCTCGCGTCGTACTTCAAAATTGTTGTCCAGCAACAATTGTAATACTGTTGTCCACCACTGAATTTGTACATCTACGAAATCATATTTAATTGATGTATTTGTTAAATAAAATTAAATAAAAAACAAAATTTCCTAAAAAATATAACTTACAACGATATTCGTAAGATTTCTTGCATATTGGAAGAAGATCACGCATTATATCGAATACAGATTTTCTAAAATCTGTGCCTAAGGACGTGATCCATAAATGATCACAAAAGATGCTATACACGTCATTAATAAATGCCAAATTAATTGCATCTTTGTCCTCGTTTAAAATAGTAAAAATTACAAACGATTTCCCAAGTAATCTTAAATAACAATCTCTTACACAATAAGCAGTATTTTTCTTATTTAATCGTATTTCGTTCAAAACAATATTACAAATGTCCATTTTCTTCGTAGAAAATGACGGAAACTTATCGAGGTATATTAAGGTACTGTATAGGAAATCGAATATTGCATCTTGCAACTCTGGTTCGTACCTATCCAAATTTTTCAGAGAATCACGTATTTCATTAACAGTGCTGTTTAATAGCTCCGTCGACACAGAATCTGATTGCATTTCATTGACCACTTTTGTCAAAGTAGACCATGCAATAATTTGCGTTTCTGGTATTTTTAAACTACGAACATATAGCGCGATTAACAGATTGTGTGAAATTAATTGATTTCTTTCCGCTAGACATCGAATTAATTTAATCACAGATATTTGGTAAAGTTCTCGTGCTGGTCCTTGCTTCAATTTTTGTCGTAATAAATGCGAAACAAGCACACGTAATATTTGAATATTTTGTGTAAAATACCTGTAATATTAATCAACATGATATTTCTTTAAACAATAAAATATTATCGATATTTATTTGCCTTACGTTTCATCTGTTTTATATATTTCACTACAAATATTCACGTAAACTGTGGCCAATAAAAAACACGGAGGATTCGAATTTTGACATTCTAAATTTTCCAAGATCCAACTTGTTTTTTTCAAAAACCTGTCCCATTGTTTGTCGTAAGATTGGAATTGTTTAAAACCAAAATGTTTTATTATTTCGAATATCTGAATAATAACGAAAGGGATTAATGTAATCGTCCGTTATATTTGCACGATTGTACGTACCTGTAACATGTAACCATGAATCAAATTCAGAGATAAATTATTACTTCCAGTATGTATTATATTTTCAATTATTTTCATTAAAACTTCTCCTACAGATTGTTCTGTTATTATATGTACAAGTGCTCTAGCCGCTAATTTACGAGTTTCGAATACTGCACTCTTTGCACATTGTATTATTACAGTGACAAGATCGTTGATCTGAAATTGAAATCCTTTTTAACTGTTAAACTAAACCAATATGCTCACAAACTAGCACACTGTAACATGACGTAAAAATGTTACCTTGGTCTGAATGTTAGTGTAATCAGAACCATGTCTATGATATAATCGTGACAATAACAATAAAATTGACTGCACATTAGACTTTATAAGACTATCATTCGTTGTCACAAATGATTGCAATTCCTCTAAAATAAAAGGCAACAAGTTGGGGTACTTCTCAAAAAATAATACAAAATTCATTTTGTTATCCGTAGTAAGATTAATATGATCTTTCGTTCTCTGAACACCAAAAATCCTGATGATGAGTGCACTGAAAAGTAATGTCGCAGCATTTCTTTCCTGTAACAATATGAAACGTTCCTTGGCATGTAACTCTACACGTTCCGAAATAAAATAGTTGATATTCCGAAATTAACTTACCGCCCACGTTAGAGCGTCATAGCTCTTAATTGCTGCTATTAAACCATCTTCCACGTAGTTGTTCGCTACTTCTCCGAGACGAGAATTTCTAAAAATTGTTCTCAAAATGTTCAAAGCATGAGTTTTGATCTCTGTTACTTGAGTAGCGTTCTCGCGTACACATTCATCGGTATGTGTTAATGATTCAAGTGAGTTTTCATATTCTGAGAATACCGAATTGGTATATATCAAGCGTCTTACTTTGTCCCGTAGGTTTATATTTTCCAAATTTGTAAATTTTAATAGAATTGTCATCACAGAATGGAAAGTTGTAGTATTTGTGTCTTTGTACTGACGCGGTTCCGTAGATAACAATGCCTGTAATATACAATTTCTATGATTTTCTTTCAATAGAAATTTATAAAATTAAAGTTGGTACCTGTATCATGAAAGGAACACCCGCACTTCGTCGGGTTGCACATAATTTTAAATTGTCTTCCTTAATTCCTGTGATAGCAATTAAAATTTGATGTAACCATATTTTAGGCAATTGATTTAGGTCTACTATATCCAACCGCCAAAGACGAGTACATAACTGATTGAAACCTACATGTGCTTGTTCAAATGCTCCTCTATGCTTTGTTTCGGTAAGCAGCATAACCAAGTGTTCTCCTATTTTAATGATCTGTTGAAAAATCAGTTTTATTTATTTATTTATATCCGGGATGTTTCTTTGTTTCGATATCTTAAACTTGAGCGGTGAAATTTTACTTGTTCCTTATTTAAAAGTTCTATGGAAGAACCATCTTCTCTTATTGGTGCTTTAATAGCAAGAAGACCAAACATTAAACTGACTTCCTTCACAGTGTGCCAAGAACAGAGCAGTACCATTTGTGGAGTCACCATCTGCTTGATGGATGAATTATTTATCTTACTGATAGCTTGTGAACTTAAATCCATTGGTAAATGTCCTTCAGGGGAAGAATTATTTACTATTACAGAAACTGCACAACTTAATTCCAAACATACAGTCACAAGTTCTGCAATGGTATCTTGCCATAATTGTTTCTTTTCAACATTTTCTAAATCACAGTCTTCTAACAAACTTCTAATGCAAAAAAGATATCCATACAAAGAATGTTTAGTAACTGTTGTTACTATATTCTCTTTTGCACATACTAGTGATTGCTGCAAAAATAATAAGTATACTATCTTCTTTCAATAGTTATATGCTGTAAGTAAAATTAAATACCTGTAACTTTTTTAACAAAATTAGTATCAACTGCAATATTACAGTTTCTGTTATGTTTTCATCAACTGGTTCTGTTAAATCGAATCTTGCTTCAAGTACTGATTGTACAACTGGTGACAATGTACTAAGCTTTAGCATGTATGCAGCAGTAACACTGTCGATAGGCTTGATACTATTACCTAATTCAATAGCAACTTTAATAATATCATGAACTACATTTTCATTATCTAACTGTAACAAAGTTGTATTTATGGACTTGATTAATTTAAAAGCCATTTCTTTGTTGCTTTCATATGTATCTAATAACATCAACTTAAACAATGCTTCCGCTTGTTCAGACTCCCAGGTGATATATTTGAATTCGTTATCCAAGAAATCTCTCATTAATAACAATATCTGTAAAGAAGACTTTCTTCTGGAATATGTAGCATCAGGGCTACATATACACGTATTACGCAAAGATCTAAATGCATCACCATACATTTCAATATCCCTTTTGATATTAAAGGACATTTCATACGAATGGTGTAACACTTCTTGCCTCATTTCCATAGAGTTACAATTTTTCTGATAGTGATATCTGATTTTTTCTTCTTGGGTATATTGTCTTTGCAAAACAGCTAAACTTTCCTTCATACGTTTCAATGCCTATAACATATAGATAACTCTAATTTTATTATTTGCCAGCAAATTGTGGACATATGAATGGTAATCTCACCTTTTTAATTAAAGGAACAAATTCTAGTTTTTCTTTCAAGTTAACTTGTAAGAATAAAATAATTATGTCAAATTCTTTAAAAGTAAATTTCAAGGTACTTTTTTTAGATTCTACCACTAGAGCAAGTGTGTTCAGTTTAATCTAAAACAATCATTATTCATATTATAATCACGATTTAAAATACCGAAAAAACATAGAACATGTGTATCATAAATTCTGTACTTGTTCGTCGTCATTGTGTATATAGGATTTTAAGGTGTTGTAGGTAATAGAATCTCGCCAAAATTCATCGTTAGAATTTAAAAGCTTTTCTTCGCTGTCTAATTCCCCACGGCGTTTCAATTCCAGCCATTTATTTAAATCTCTTTTTATATTTTCCTGCGAATACATCTTACTTAACCTATTCAAATTTGACCACAACAAACCACATGTATCATGTATTTAATTACACACAATCTAAATAAGCTGCCAGTGCCATCTAAGGATAAGCGGCAATCGTTTCTTTTCATAGTAGTTTACTATTTTACTACTGAATGGCGGTAGCAGTATTTTTCCAAAACGCTCGGCAACATTTTTGCTTCTTTACTTTATTCATAAACTTAGAAAGATATTTTACTTAACAAATGTTATTGATATAATATGCTTCATAAATTTTAGTAAAATCAATAAAGTAGAATATCCTCTGCAAAGAAATATGTGTCTCTATATTCGTTGAGTACAATTAGATGGCGCTGGTGGTATTGTTTTCAAAAGGCGCACCGATATAAAATAAAAAATGTAATAAAAAGGCTTGTTATATACACGTTTTTAATCAATTAAATTATTATTTTTTCAGTTAATTAATTTATTGTTTCTGAAGAATAATGATTATTAACAACCTATTACTTTACAGGTAATTTTACAATTCCATAATTTAATTTCAATGCAACAAGTCTTAAGTAAATTTACAGACAAGTTTCTAAATTTCTAAGCGTAATCCACTCGTACGACGTTTGTGGTGCATGTGCCGCTTGCAGGACGTTAAGCGGTACTGTATGGATGGTCTAAAAAAATCCATAGCACGATGTAAATTGAAATCAGTTATCGTAATGACGGAAGCTTATCAACTCCAAACACAAACGTATACATTATAAACGTATCGTTTAATCGAAACGCATGCAATATCATGATGACGTATTGACGAAACAATTAAATGTCCGTGGCGTACAAAGGCGTGACCCGTAACGGTCCACAAGCGAAGAGCAATTCCATCGAATCCCGATTGGTATTCGATGGTAGGTACGCGAAATCAACGAGTTATAGCGTACAACGGGAAATATTGATTCGAAAAATAACTACGGCCGCTAATTTAAATAATTGCATGGCGCGTTCGGTCGCGTGGCCCGCGGTTCCGCTCTTTGCGCGGGTTACTCTAATAAATTGCGTTTTAATTAAAATCGATTTTTCAGCGGGACACTGGCAACCAGCGACGAATCAAACAAATCTGAAAGAGGGACTCTGTAAACGCGATAACGGTAATCGTTGTTACGAATAAACAGTTTTTATTGACGTGCTCGATACACGCGTGCACGGACAATGGCCTCCAACACGCTCGGTTTCGTTTTTCCAAATAGTTTGCGACTAATTATAAACACGACGCACCGTCTCGTTACGTAACTAACCCCCGTGTCTTTCGCCTCCTCTTAGATCTTTCTTTTCCTTCCTGTATGCCAGCTGTCCTCGTTTTTTGTTTAATTAGAACGAGAACTCGATCGAAACATTTCGGATCGTTAGGACCGAGTGAAATTATGGCAGTAATACATAACGATTTTGTACGAAGGAAAAGGGCGTTGTTGGTAGAAATGCTAACGAGGAATTATTCGATAAAAGCACCGCGGGAACGAAGCCACGAGAGGAATAAAGAGAAGGAAAGAGGAACATCGACTAGAGAGAAATGACCGAGAATAGTTCATTTTTCGCGACACGGTTAGCGATAACAAGCATAACGCGAAGCAATGAGTGCTATTCCCGCGTGTTTATCGTTCTACCTGTACGTAGAAACGTGACATTTAACGGAGGGCAACAGAAACCTTCTGTCGTAACTGTAACTCTTATCACGGGAGTCTTATCTATATTTCCCCGAAAGAGATGAATGCTTCTACGACCGCGAACTTATTCAACACCGTTCATCAAATACGAATGTACTCTTTGTTACGAAATCTCGTTTCCAAAAATAAATTGTACGTCACGTTCGACTCCGTAAATCTGCTACGATTCTTTGTTTTTCTACTCGTAAACGAAGTTCGCGCTCCTAACGCTACATACGTTAGGGTTTTTCGAAAGATGGATGACTCGATTTATCGGCAGTTGCAAACGAGCCGAATTCATCGGTACCGATAAATAATCGTGTAACGAAGTTTCGTCGAAAATAAATCGAGCAGCGTTCGGTGTAGCAGCATCCAGAAGTAGACAGCAACGGTGACGAACTTCTAAGATAATCTTCTCGAAAGCTGTCCGTAAATCGAAATCAAAACGTTTGAGGGTGAAACGCGTCGAATTAAATTGCGGGGAGCGGCCGATTATCCGGGAAGCCCAGTAGCTCGCCGTTAATTGGATTTGACAGGGGACCAGCAAATTGAGTTAGCAGACGATTCTCGGTTATTTACCCGTGTGTCGGATAATTCACCGTCCGACGCGTCAAAAGCTTTGCAATCTCTCCTTGTACGTTCGCGTCGAACAACGGACCTCTCGCACACGGGTTATGTACTTTCGTTTAAACGACCGAAATTTCAAGCCGAAACATCCGTTCCGCGAACTCGACAGATTCGCTAAAAGACGAACCGAGAGAGGAACATTTCCCGCGACTCCGTTGACGAAACTCGCGCAATTAACGATTAGAATCTCGCGGTTTTTTGCCACACGCGGGAGAAGAATCGTTCTCAAGAATATCTCGGTAACAAAAGAGAAGACCTTCGGACACGTAGAATGGTCGGAAATGGTCTGGGACCCTTCTCAGGAAGATGTGTAATTAAAGGAGAGAAAGACAACGAGCATTGCGCAACCCCGTAAGATCCATCTTTCCCCAGGAATGAAATTAATGGCGGTACAGGTGGTCTCGTCGCCGGTGCAACAATCCAACGTGAATACCGCCGTTGTAAATTAACGTCCTCCAGCTTTAGCGATTCGTTCGGAAAAAACCGATATTCTCCTACGTCGTAACGCGACGTCGAAACGATTCTTATCTCGATTCGACGACTCTGGATGAATTTGGAAACGCCGAAAATTACTGTACTCTCTTATAATTCGAGTCCCGCAACGTACAGCGAAATTCGCGGACACTCCACCGGTTTAAAGTGTAGGAGAAAAATATGGAAGAAGCGTCGGTAAATGCTCGTTTGGCGGTTCGTCACGGTGGCTCGGGTCGTTTGAAGCGGCAGCACAGGACAAGAGGCGTTTTTCTGGTTCGAGGTCAATTTCCATGCTTTGAGGAAACGCAGCGTGTCAGCGTCGAGTATTTCGTTTCCGGGCCACTTGCTTCCCACTTACCTAGAAACAGGCAAAACAACGCAACAATTTATTCCTCGACCGCGTGCAAAAAGGCTGACGCTGTTGCGCCAGTTTCCGTAGAATAGGAACAGCGTCGGCAAGAAGGAACACAAAACCGGGTTAATGCGTACGCATTAGATTCAATGTTTCCACGTAGCTCGCCACGTAGACGTTTATCGTTTTTCAGTAAACGATCAATCGCCGCGTGTTCGAGAACTGTCAACTCGAGAGGAAGTACGGACATTATCGTGAACGCTCCATTTTGATGGAGAACGTAGGAAGTACCGCCATTATCGTTACAGTTTCTCGTAGAACACGGACAATCGAGTAGATATGTTCGTTAAGAAGTTTTGCTAGAAAGAATATTCTAAACTTTAGAGGCAGACTGACCCGAGTCCCTTTTTCCGTGTCATCGATTTTTATGCGAGATACGAGAAAGTGTTGTTGGTTCCTCCATTCTTTTGAAAGCGGAACCAATAATTACCAGCTACGTTACTTGCATAAAACTGACAAAGCGAAAAGCTGACTATCAAAGTACCGCGATATCGAACATCGAAGTATTAAGCGTCACGTGCCAATTGAGCCAATGTTCCCGGTTAGAGCACGAATGGTCGGAGTTTAATTCCAGAAGAGTCGATCGCTCCGACGTTTCTACCTTATAAAATACTTAAATCGCAACCCCGTTCTTTCAACGAGCATCCGTTAATTTTCTTTCGAGCAAGACCTCGTTTTACGGTAAACATCGGCGTCGGTTTGTTTGATCGAACAAATCGAGTCTTTTCAATTTCGGAGCGTTTGTAAACGAAATCCGTCTCGTTTTATAATTACGCGGCAAGAGGACTCTTTTGAAAGGCCGAGAGAGGAGCCGGTGCCGAATGCTCCCGTTAGATAGACGAAAGGAAAAGAGAAGGAGGGCGGGGAAAAAAGAAAGAAATAGAATTTAGGAGGAGAAAAGCGAGCGCTAGGGTAAGACGCGGTAGAAGCGTAATACGAGGTTAGCCGAGAGAGGGTGAACTCGACGAAATAAATTCGCGTCCCCGAAGACAGTCGCGCGAAAAGCACTGAAAGGGGTAGAAACAAATGGCTACGTGGGCTTTCTACGGGTATGAGCCGAAGAAAGAAAGAAGCTACGTCGAGTCAACCGAATTTCGAGCGCCTCAAGAGGTAAAATGAATTTTTCCGTGGACTAAACTCGCCGAGAACACGAAACTTCTTTCTCGCTAGAAAGCTTATTCCGCTTTGAAACCAACAAGATTTAACTCTATCCATGGACAATTTCGTTTTCTTCGGTCGACCTCGGTTATCGTCCCGATTTTCCTCCATTTTCGCGAGGAGCGCGTTTCGACGAGAAAATCAAGCTTTTAACGATCTCTGCCGTAAAAGCTCGCCGCAAAAACCGCGCGGCGTAGAAATTGTAAGATTTACGAAACGTTTTTGTTCGCGACTCGAGTGTTAATCGAGCGAAATTTGTGTATTACGACGGGGAACATGTTCTCGACGACAGTTTTCGGTTAGCGAGCCACGAAACGAGCTCCGGGAAATTTCGCAGGGAACCCGTTGTCTCGCTATCGGAAGTTCTTGAACCGAGTCGAAGTACCCTTTTTATCGATGTTCGCCTCGTTACAGACTGAACGAGTTCTACGTACTGTCGCGAACACAATCCTTCGTTAACGGAATTCAACGCTCCCAATACGCTTTGCCTCGAATTCAATCTGGACGCGCTGATTCCTTTTATATCCGCGTAATTCTTCGTTCGGCCGAACGCGTCGTGGCTCGGTGACTATCGTACGGAATTAACGAAACAAGTGGAAAAGCTCGTTACGTTTAGAGTTCGTCGACCGAACTTACGAATAAAACCCCGTTCGGATACGTAAATTCCGATGAATAATTTTGCTCGAGGACTTACGGGAAAGTTGGTATCGCGAATGATCCCTCTGGTGGCGGATGTGGAACGGCGCTACTGCAGCAGTTATATCCTGTTTTATGGTCACAGAGTTTCCGCCAACCTATTTTACGATATATTCAAAATGGAAACGTCGCTAATGCGGGATCGAAACTTTGCGCGATCGACGCAGTTAACCCTCGCGTCCTCCAAATATTTACGATTGTTTCGTAACCGGAATGCGACTTTTGCGCAAAATTGGAGTAATTGGAGTTCGGTGAGTCGACGGGGAATAAACTGGATCTCCCAGCGGCGTTCAACGTCGAATATCGACGACGAATGACGTGGAAATTTTTGGGATTTTTAGCGGCATGACGGAACTATAGAGCAAAATCGAAACGATATCGGATCAAAAGATGGCCGAACGTTGATCGATCGATCAGCAGGTTCGTTGATAGTCGACGCTCGACTCGCGTCGATCGAATGCTATTTTCCGTGAAAATTACGCGTCGAAATAAAAGTTCTTCCTAGAATGATATCGAACATCGAACACTGTCCGATCTATCGGTAACCAGCGAAGATACGTATGCATGTAATTGCAATCGCACAGTCACGGTCGTTATTTTCCTTCGATCCACTTTCCGCTATCGGCGAAATGGAAATTTCTCGAATTGCTCTCGCTGTTTCCAAAGCCGAACGGAACTCGAAGTCGAATTCGTTTCGACGAAAAAAATAGCGAAAGTTTCGTAATCACCGGAAATAAAAATTGTCGTTACCGACCCCTTATTTGAGCTCTGTTTCTCGATACAGTTTTACGTACGCGATAAATATCGATACGTACCCCTTGCCGTTTTACGCGCGAAAAATTGACGTTCACGCACACTCTCGCTTCGCTTTGCCCCTTTTATTTTCGCGTTAATGCTCTTCCATACGAGTCAGCGGTTCTACGGATGCGAATGAAAAAAGGTTCAATGGATAGCGAACGAACAATCGTATTCTGAGACCTGGACCGCATAAATACCCCCGCGGCAAATAAAAGCGCGCGATACAACGAAAGTGTCGATCGACTGGAAAAGTTGGAAAAATGTGCATCCAACGAATTCGACGTTTCTCGAGTTCCAGCAGAATTCGAACCTCGGCGATGTAACGCGTCCACGCTAGCCAGCAAGGTATAACAATGGCGATCCGCAGGAGCGTCATAAAAGACGACCATTTATTTAGAAGTTTTTGTCGGTGAACTTTGAGCGAAAAAAGAGACAGAGAAGGTAATTTACCGCGATAAAATCTGTCGGGGAAATGTTTTTCTGGCAAAACGGCCTCGATAAAACAATACTCGAATGCTCAGCCCGTGACGGGAAAAGCCTCTTGATCTCTCCTAAACTCATTCGTTCTCCCAGAAGGTGGATCTCTATTTGTCATTGTCGCAACTTGAGTGAGATTAACGATCGTCAGAAAACTAAGTGTCCGCTGCAAACGACGTCACCACGAAACGTTCCGTATCGTTGCTTTCGCAATTTCTTCTCTGTCTTCCTACTCTTTTTTACGGCGACGATTTTCAACGTGATTTTTCTTCTTCTCGAAACGTCGGAAAAAAAGAAAGGTTCCTTCGATTAATTCCGATAAATTAATAACCCGATGCGGTAGCCCTTCTCTTCTTTCGTTTTGTTCGACGATACAAAGGGAGAGGATTCGATCTCTGCTCGGGGGAAGATGGTGGACGAGATTTATGAGATTGATATCGCGCGATAATCGAGTCTAAGGGAAACTTCGGGGTGGAAAAGTAATGGGCAAAGTTTCGGCGACGATCAGTGTTCGCGGTTACGCCTGTTTACACGCTACCTATTCGGTGAGCGCGCAAAGTACTCGATATTCTCGAAAATAACGCGCCATTTATCGCCGGGAAATAGAATAGATAAGCGCTATCGTTTTTTAACTGGTTAAAGACGAAAATGAATAATTCTTATCTTTAATTCGTTATTAATACGTTCGGTATGTCTCTCGTAAAAGAAATGATGAAATTATGGTCATAAATTAACCTCGATAACGATGCGTTTTCTTATCGCGCTTTCCATTTTATCAAGATGAATCATCTTTCCAAAGACGAAGATGGGTTTTTCCCATTTTCACGAAAGAAGTTACGCCGTTTAAACCGCGGCTAGTAAATATACCGGCGATAAATAGAAAAAGTGTAGAATAAAAAGGTACGCCGGTAAAAGGAAAGAAACACGCAGGATAGAAAACGGCGGAAAAAGAGCACGTTCCCCGTGGTGCGCGCAACTTTTCGCTGCGTTATATCTGGAAGCCATAGAGCGGGCATCCCGTTAAAACAGAGGTAAAAGCAAATTATGCCAAGCTCGTAAAAAAATACATGGAATTAACCACTAGAGAAAACGCTTTATCGTTCCACTTTCTGGTTTACTCCGAACAATAAATGAAACATTACAGACACTTTCTTTCTAGCATTTACATTTAACTTTCGTCCTATCTAGAAACGCGAACTGTACGGGTGACGATTGCGTTACAGGATGTCGGGCATTGGATCCTATAGCAACGCGGAGCACCTACAGTATTATGTTCTCGACGCTTTGTTCCAAAACCAGAATGTCATCCGCTAATGAAAAGCGATTTACAAACGAACGCGCAACAGTTCGGACCGATGCTCGAGAGCGGATAAACGCTTTGCTAGGAAATGTACGCGAATCCAGATTACAAATTAGACAGCGATCCGGAACGTCTCTCGCGAGGTGTTTTCGAAGCGTGACCAAATACTTGCGAATCTCTGTTAAAATCAGCCAGTTAACCGCCAACTATTGTTTCGCGAGCGTCTATAGACAACGCAAATTATTTTCATCTAACTGCTGCAATATCGCGATACAATTTCTCGTCTGTAAACGGGAATTTACGGTTCCACGAATTCGAGCAAAAGTATTCGGGCCAACAACCGTGGAAACTCGGAAGAACAATGCAACTAGTCGGTGAGGAAAAGTTTGACTGTTATCCGAGTAAACAATCGTTGGGCATGGTGCGCCGAGAAGCAAACAGGTATAGTTAAATTAACGGAGAAACCGATACGAAACAACCATGACAGTGCAACAAAGTTCCTTCCTCGAACGGAAAAACGGAATCTACGGCGAACTCTATGTAACGTTGCAGCGCTGGTCAACTTCGTTTCTATCGGAGTATTTCTTCATTTACTATCGTTAGATCGGCATTCTTTATTAGATACGTTATCGCGAGGTTGTACTCGTATAAAAAAGTTGTTCGCGCGACGTTTAATTATCCGAAATCTGCCGTGGCTCGCAAATTTTTCGACGAAACTATCTCGAAACTCTGCAGGATCTCTGATTTATATTAAATGCACGGTCACACAACGCGCGACGATGTACAACGTATCGTGCATCGCGCAGTCACATAATTCTAATTTCCATTATATTTTTGCTCTTTTTTTACGGAGCAAGATAAAATGAAACGGCTTCGAGTTATGCAGGTGGTTCGTAGACCGCGTCCTAGCTTCGAAAATGAGAAATCAGACAAGGAAGCGAATCACCCCGGGGCGATATGGCTACACGGACACGCGGGAGGATTTTGAAAGTGTCGATATCTCGTTCCATCGAAGTCGTTGACTCGAACGATCTGTTCGCTACGAGACGACCATACCTATCTATGTTTACCAGGACAAATGGAAGAGAGCAGAGCGAATGAACTAGTAGGCGTACACTCGGCGCCAATAGTCTAACAGGGAACGGTATCGAGTTACCTGAGATTGTTGTAATAATTGTGTGTCACTCGTTCTTGCATAGATAAGTACGCGTTACGCTGTTATTTTAGACCGCACCCAACGTTCTTAGATACTGTCTCGTATCTCGTAATCGACGATCAAATGACTTCTAATTTTGGAAATTCTCTTGTGCAACCTCCTGCGTCCCACAGTTTCAGAAGCCATTGCAGTCAGCAAGAATTACTTCTACTTCCGGAAGGTCGGTGACCCAGGGAAACACTTCGGATTTTCAACTCGTTTCGCTAAACCAGTTAGGGGTATTTAGACATTTTTTCTTCCGTTAATTCGTTATACCAAGAACCGGAGAGTTGGCGACGCAACACTCGACTCGCTTCGTTAAATCGGTAACATAGAGGATAATGAACAAGTCGGGGCTCAAAAATGTTTCTTTCAGACATCGTAGACTTTTCGTATTGTCGCACATATAGCAGGAATTCGCCCGGTGACGCATAGGTCTTAGAATTTCAGCTCGCTGTTTCACCAGGGTCTGGCTGAACGCGGTGAACACGGAGGTAAAGTCTCCGATGCGCAACTCGCCGGCTGACGCATTCTCACAAAAGAAGGTAGGCTGTCTTTGAGCGACACACGAATATGCGGGAGGTTCTGTTTCGTGAATTATCATTGAGCTCCGTCTGCATGAACCGAGGCCAGGCATTAATTACAGCGGCAAGTAAAACTTGAGCTTTCTGCATTGTGCACAGGGATTACAATGCATTTTATGCAAAACCAGCTCGTAGAATAGCATCTCCTGGCCAACCCTCTCCTCTCTTTGCGTTCTCCACCGTTTTGTCGCACTCTTTTCGTCTAACCGGCTCTCTCTCCTCTCCTTTGTTATCGCGTACTTTGCGGGTTGCTCGATAATAAACGGCGCCTGAATCCGTAATCGCGTCCCTGCTATTCTATTAGCTCATCCCATAATAAGTAACGAGATTCGTTGGGAAAGTATATCCGGGCCAAATATTTGCGACGCGTTTCGGTCGACGGTAAATAGGTTTTAGAATAAAGCGAACTCAGCTTTTACGCAACGTATAGTTGATTTTCCCACGCATTCGTTTTTGAGAAAATTTGCAATCGACGAAATGCCGTGCGTAAATTGCGGCAATTTGACGAGAGTCGTCGAAGCAATTTGCCGCGGTCTGATTCCGTGCCCGCGCGAATCGCGTGACGCGCGAATCGGGAATTCTACTGGAAGTTTCGAAAAGTCGATTAAATCGCGAACGAGCGCCGTCTAAAGTTACGATTCGTACTTTCGCGAGTATGCCGGTCGATGCGGGGCTTCGCGGTTTTCGTCGTCGAACGATCGAGCGGCGTCCTCGCCGGCCGAACGGAAACGGCACAAACGAACCGAACAGAAAATTTCGAAAAATCCTTCGTTCCGCTTTTGCATTATTCAGCGACGTGCCAGCTGTGAAACGAGCATAATGTAACGGGTCATTGGAAACAATGGTTAATACGGATCGTCGTCGGAGAGGACGGAGAGAGAGGACGTGGCAGCATTTTCAAGGAATTTACGGAAGTTTTGGGACTCGAAACGATCGTAAAAGGCAAGAGAGGTTCTCGGAAGGGTCATCGGTTCGTTTGGCTACGTTAGATCCTCTTTGCTTTAACGGTTTTCCACCGATTACTGCAAATGTCGTATCGTTACCTTCCTTCCTTACGACGGTAAGGGTACGTTGAAAATTCGAACACGAATCAAAATTGTTCATCGATAGAATTCGTGTCGAGGATAACTCGATAGTTAATTCTCTACCGACGTAAAAATCTATGGATGACCGCATTGGTCGTAATCGTTACAAGGTGAACCTCGATAAACGGCCGTAACGAAAATTATCGATATCTCTCCGAGTCGAGTTAGAGTAGAAGTCGAAGCGAAGATCGATAACGACTGCAGAGCAAAGTAAGAAGAAACCATAGAGCGGGACTTCCGTGGATATTTGATTACACGCTCTAATTCGGGAAACGTGTATCTGTCTCTGGAACGTATTACGATATGAGCGCGTACGAAACAGTAGACGACAGTCTGCTCGAAGTTGATACGGCGAGCGAAAAGGGAAAGCCAAACGGCGACAGATATCGGGTATCTCTAGTTCTCACAAATCTTCGATGTTCCTAATCCACGTGGCAAGTTGCCCGTGAACGAAACTCCGCTAGCCACGATAAAATGGGAACAAGTGAATGAGCAAATACTACGTCGAACACGGGAGAGTACGCCTTCCATTCAGAGACGCCACCATATTGCTCCCACCTGTTATATCCGCCAGCACTTTATCTTTCCTCGCCTTGTATAAACGTTCTTTCCTCGTCCCGACCGATGAGCAGGTCATTTCTCTATCTCCCCGCGAACAATCCCATCGGATAAAAACGTAGCCGCGTCCTCTACGAATATCGTGTTCGCCAGGTAAACGGAATCTTTCGTTTCCTTTCCCATTTAACGCGTTCCGCGATTATTTCCGTTTACCGTTAACTCCCTCGTCCCTTAAACGTATATTACCGATTATACTCGTTGTAAAGCAAATTGTCCCGGAGTTAAGGTAAACCCGACAAACGAGCGTACGAGATGCACCAGCGCTGCGACACGGTAACGTCGGCAATATAGGCGACAATAAAATAATAAGAAAGTTATTTTCGAACGTAGTTCCAGCCTAGGTCTGTCGTTGCCCTAATGGAAAGATGGATATCTCGAAATTAAATATGACTCGTGTTTGGTACAGCTCGGTGCCCTGGTTCGGACACTTATTTCTTCGAGATCGACGGAGACAGCAGGCAGCGGAGGAACAAGGGAGAGAAACGGAACGTCGAAAGGAGGGGATCGAGAGAAAAAGAGAGGTACGCGGCGAAGAAAAGAGACGGTGTCTGTAAAACAGCCGGAACACCCACCTTGATTCGATACCGACGTTCCAGACGATCGAAAAAAAATCCATCACGAGCGTCCCTCGAGAAAATAGAGTAATTTAGATAACAGCCATCTACCCCGTTGCTCTATCTCTCTCTACCTATATCACCGGCAAGCACGATGACGGTAAGGGTACGTTTAGACCGAGCGAGCGATCCTTCTTCCCCCGAAAGAGCATTCCTCGATTGATCGACGATTGCTCGTCGAATCGAATGCCTCGATAATAAAAACGCTCGCTCGACGAATCGATTCGATTCAATTCGACGCGATTCGATCCGACGCGGTTCGATCCACCGGTACCAATCGCGAATATTCGTACACTCCTCGATTTAAACTCCGCGAACGTTCGCTCGTATTCGGGCGTTCGATGCGACCGCACAATTTGCTCGGTGGTCGCTCGCGCTGAAAGAGAACGAACGAACGCTCTTGCTCGTTTAGTCCGCTCTAAACGCACCCTAACGTGTCTCCGGAGACACGCCGCGGACGTTGCTGGTCCGGTCGTCGCGATCCAGGATATTCTTCTCGTAACGACGAAATTCGATCCGTACGGGTTTAACGAGAGCACGGATAAAAAGTCTATCGTGAAAATTGGTGAAAACGAACGTTCGACGTTACGCTTACGACCGTAGGCTTACCGTAATTCGCCTCTCTCCCGTGGCTCTCCCTCTCCATTTTCTTTCTCGTTCGGTCGACCGGTCGAAAGTCAAGCTTTCTCTGTTCCAGGGTAACCCCCTCTCTCGGTGTCGTCCACGACTCCCCTCCCATCGGCGAAGCAGGTAACGTGCCAACGCCAGGCAATGGCGCCTTAGCGGCTACACCTGGGCTAACCGTTCGCCAGGTTAGAGAGCTCGGTGATTGGTCGCGTCGCGCAAAACCGCGCGCTGATTGGCCGATATCGCGGTTCCGTCGGCACACGGCTTTAATCTCGTTTACCGTAGGCGCGCTGCTGCTCAGTTCAACTTACCTTAGCCGCACGGACGGTTGGCCACGCAACTCACGCCGGACATTCCACACGAAAGTTGCGAGCACCTCTGCCGCGTTAGTTCGCGGTACACTTTGTTTCCGGTTGCTGGCGCGCGTTCGCGAGTCCGTGCTCCGTGTTCGATCGTCGCTCGCGATCCGCCACGGCAAGAAAGCGGCAGCAGGAAAGATCAACAGTCA